CTGATATCCAGGATTTACAAAGAACTAAAACAGATTTACAAAAAAACAAACAAGCCCATTCAAAAGTGGGTGAAGGATATGAACAGACACTTTACAAAAAAACACATACATGAGGCCAGCAAACATATGAAAAAATGCTGTTCATCACTGGCCATTAGAGAAATGCAAATCAAAATTACATTGAGATAGAATGGCGATCATTAAAACATCTGGAGACAACAGATGCTGGAGATGTTGTGGAGAAATAGGAACACTTTTACACTATTGGGAGTGTAAATTAGTTCAACCATTGTGGAAGACAGTGTGGCGATTCCTCAAGGACCTAGAAATAGAAATTCCATTTGACACAGCAATCCCATTACTGGGTATATATCCAAAGGATTATAAATCATTCTACTATAAGGACACACGCACACGAATGTTCATTGCAGCACAGTTTACAATAGCAAAGACCTGGAACCAACCCAAATGTCCATCAATGACAGACTGGACAGGGAAAATGTGGCACATGTACACCATGGAATATTATGCAGCCATCAAAAACGATGAGTTCGTGTCCTTTGTAGGGATATGGATGAACCTGGAAACCATCATTCTCAGCAAACTGACACAAGAAAAGAAAATCAAACACCACATATTCTCACTCATAGGCAGGTGTTGAACAATGAGAACATATGTACACAGGGAGGGGAGCATCACACACTGGGGTCTGTTGGGGGGAAGTAGGGGGAGGGACAGCGGGGAGTGGGGAGTTGGGGATAGATAGCATGGGAGAAATGCCAGATATAGGTGAAGGGGAGGAAGGCAGCAAATCACACTGCCATGTGTGTACCTATGCAACAATCTTGCATGTTCTTCACATGTACCCCAAAACCTAAAATGCAATAAAAAAAATCCCTGCGTGTTCTTTCTCAGTCACTATATTATCCCATCCTCCACAAAGCTAACCATTATCCTGAATTTAATGATTATCTTTTCCTTTTTTTATAGTTTTAACTTCTAAGTATTCACCCTCAAACACAATAGCTTAGTGTTGCATTTTTTGGTTGGCTTTCATTTGCTTATATAAATACATTCATACAGAAGGTATCTTTTGATTCTTTTTTCTTTCACTCAATATTGTTTGTGAGATGTATCCACATTATTATGTATAGCTAGAATTTGTTCATTTTACTTACTGTTTTTCTTATTTATTTTATTTTATTAAAATGACAATATTCCAGTGAGTTTATTTTAATTGCTTATAGTTTTCCATTGTATGAATTTATCCCAACTTATCTAGCATTCTACTCTTAGTGTACATTTGGGTTGTTTCTATTCGGGGCCATTATAAATAATGTTGCTCTGAACAATCTTGGAAGTCTCTCAGTGCACATGTCCCTGGATTTCTGTTCATTCTACACCTCCAAGTAGAACTGCTAGCTCAAAGGGCATGAGAATCCTCAACAGTAGTAAATGATGACAATTGTTATCTAACGGGATGGCACCAGGTTGCACACCCTCATGCATTGTAGCTATCTCCACAGTCTTAACACGTGCACTGGTCTTTCTTTTCCATCTTAGCCATTCTGATGAAAATGTAATAATTTCAACTTTTCAGATTATAATATTGACAACTTTTCATATGTTTATTTGGTGGAAGAGACTATTAGCCCCTGCTAAAGAGTGGTAAACTAGAAGATAGATTTGGAGAAATTACCCAGAATACAACACAGGGCATGAAAAGATGATTAAGTAGAAGTTAAATAAAAAGGAAGATAAAGTGAGAATATTTGACATACAATTGTACTAGTCCATTTTCACACTGCTATAAAGATATTACCTGAGACTGGGGAATTTATTAGTAAAAGAGGTTTAATTGACGCCGTTTTGCATGGCTGGAGAGGCCTCAGAAAACTTACAATCACGGCAGAAAGTGAAAGAGAAACAAGCACCATCTTCACAAGATGACGGGAGAGGGACAGAGAGAGAAGGGGAACGGCCAAACACTTTTAAGACCATCAGCTCTTTCGCGAACTCACTATCATGAGAACAGCATGGGGGAAACAATCCTCATGGCCGATCACCTCCCACCAGGTCCCTCCCCTGACACATGAAAAACACAATTTGAGATGAAATTTGGGCAGAGACAGAGAGCCAAACCACATCAACAATTACTTGGAATTCTGGAATAGGATAATATAAATAATGGAAAGAAGTAATATTTGAGGAGATATTAACTGAATTGTTCCCCAGAATTGATGAAAAACACGAATCCTTTTAATCAAGAAGCCCATAAATTCCAAGCAGTAGAAATAAGAAAAAAATCCACATTTAGGCTCATAGTCAAGGTATACAATACCAAAGAGAAAGAGAAAACCAAAGAGCAGCAGCAGACCTTACCAGAGAGAAAAATTACCCATGACAGAATAATCATTACATTGACTTCTGACTTCTCAACAAGGGAAACCGGAAGACAGTGAAATAATATTCTCTAAGGTCTGGGAGTCAACTTAGAATGTGACAGAGCAGGAGCACCGTCATCTCAAACACTGCCACTTTAAGTTCCAGCTCTCTTTCTGGCCTCATGCATTTCAAGGAAATCACTTCTCTTCTAACTACAAGTAGCCCTTAAGAGCAGACAGTAAAATACAGATAAAACTGCTCAGGCACAAAGGGAAGTAGGGGGAAAGTCTCTTGGGTAATTGCCTAACTTCACCCTCATACAACAGAACCCAGTAAAACAGTGGGCCTTAATAAACACATTCCTTTCCCTTCGGGTGCACTAAGATAGGGAAGCCAAAAGCAGACTCAGGTGGGTGTGGTATATGCCTACAGCTGCAGAAACACGTATGGGAACAGACACAAACTCTCCCTCCCAGAGAAGCACAACAGAGAGAAGCAGAAGCAGTCCAAGCCTCTGATAAACTGTCCCACCCTGAATCCTTAAAAGCTCTTAGTCTGTAAGAGAGTGTGCCTCTGACCTAATCCGGCCAGATGCCCCTCTCAGATTTGTTTTTTCTAAAATAACCTGTCTTTATCATCGAGCTAAATGTTTCTTTCCTCTTTAATTCTTTTTTTTTATTTTGAGACAGAGTTTGGCTCTTGTTACCCAGGCTGGAGTGCAATGGCATGATCTCAGCTCACCGCAACCTCTGCCTCCTGGGTTCAGGCAATTCTCCTGCCTCAGCCTCCTGAGTAGCTGGGATTACAGGCACGCACCACCGTGCCCAGCTAATTTTTTGTATTTTTAGTAGAGACGGGGTTTCATCATGTTGACCAGGATGGTCTCGATCTCTTGACCTCATGATCCACCCGCCTCGGCCTCCCAAAGTGCTGGGAATACAGTCCTCTTTAATTCTTACAGAATGTACATCCAATGAAAGCTTCTTTCAGAACAAAGATAAAATAAACATATTTATTTATATTTAAAAAATCAAAAATAAAATTTACTAACAGCAGACCCTCACTAAAGTGAAAGGCCAGGTGATTAGCAAAATGTCAGGGAGTACAACAAATAACAGAAAATTCACAGGAATTTAAAAAATATATATATATATAGAAGATACCTTTGAGGTGTCAGACCAATCTTTCTCCCCTTTTTCTGTGAACTCCCAAAATATAATTTTCAAAAACTTAAAAGCATGACCCTAATGTAAACATATGTCAAGATCAGCAGAACAGTGGGGCCAATTCAAAGGGGAAGTATAGGTTGAGAGATTATATGGTCACTAAAGAAACAAAATTCTGAAATAAGACTGTTTTTTCATTTTGTTTTGTTTTTTGTTTTTGAGACAGAGTCTCACTCCATCACCTAGGCTGCAGTGCAGTGCTGCAATCGGGGTTCACTGCAACCTCTGCCTCCTAGATTCAAGTGATTCTCGTGCCTCAGCCTCCCAAGTAGCTAGAATTACAGGTATGTGGCTAATTTTTGTATTTTTAGTCGAGATGGGGGTTTCTCCATGTTGGCCAGGCTGGTCTTGAACTCCTGACCACAAATTACCTGCCTGCCTTGGCCTCCCAAAGTGCTGGGATTATAGGTGTGGGCCACTGTACCCCTACTGGAATAAGATTGTTAATTAGATACAAAACTGGCTCATGTGCCGTGTGCTGCTAGAAACTAAAACCGCAGCATCTGGTTCTTTCCTACCAGACAGAAATCATTTGCATCTCTACTGCAAAGGTCAAAAAGTTAACATGTAATCTCAGAGTCTGGGCCTTTAATAAGCAATAGAAAGTGAGTCGAAGAAAGGCACATTTCCCTAGATAGTAAAGAACCCTGAGGTGGGCCGTGAGGGGTAACTCATGCCTGTAATCCTAGCACTTCAGGAGGCCAAGAAGTATAGATCACTTGAAGTCAGGAGTTTGAGACCAGCTTGGCCAACATGGAGAAACCCCATCTCTACTAAAAATAGAAAAAAATCAGCCAGGCGTGGTGGTGGGTGCCTGTAATCCCAGCTACTTGGCAGGAGAACCACTTGAACCTAGGAGGTGGAGGATGCAGTGAGCTGAGATCACCACGGCACTCTAGCCTGGGCAACAGAGTGAGACATCGTCTCCAAAAAGAAAAGAACCCTGAGGGATTAAGCATCACTTCAATATGACAGTGAAAGAGGCCCTCCTTTTGCCTTATGTCCAAATCTGAGATAATTTTTCTTAAGAGAACAAATCTCTGTCTGCTAAAACGAACCACAGCAGGAATGGTACCACATGACTCTGGCCTGGCCACAGCCTAGGTCACAGCTTTCCTAACCCAGTCTGCTCAGCTTCTCCACCAACTACTGAGTGTTGGGATATCCTCAAGTCTCCCCCCAAACTAGAAAGCAAAGTCTACCATTCTGTGCCCGCCGTGTTTGTCCCTGCTCATGCTACGGAAGTGAAAGCTATCTACAGAACAAAGCAGCAGGGATCAAACACGAAAAAAGAAGCAAAGAGTCCAGGTGACTGAGTGAGAGAGAGTCAGAGAGAAAAGCAAAGACGAAATAACCTCTTGAATAGGTTCTTGAAGGTTTTCCACTCACTTCCTGGTTCCAGGCCTTCAGGTAGCTCCAGCTGTAGTTCTTGGCCTTGGGTTGTACGTGATACTCCAGGACTTTTCCAACAAATTCCCGTGTATGCTTAAAGGAAGTTAAATGAATTTTACAAACAAACAAGGCTGGGTGCGGTGGCTCATGCCTATAATCTCAGCACTTTGGGAGGCCAAGGAGGGCAGATCACTTGAGGCTAGGAGTTTGAGACCAGCCTGGCCAACACAGCAAAACCCCATCTCTACTAAAAATCCAAACAATTAGCCGGGTGTGGTGGCATGCACCTGTGATCCCAGCTACTCCAGAGGCTGAGACACAAGAATCGCTTGAACCCAGAAGGCAGAGGTTGCAGTGAGCCGAGATTGTGCCACTGCACTCTAGCCTTGGGGACAGAGTGAGGCTGTCTCAAAACCAAATAAACAAGAATAAGCCACAATTTGAAAGCCCAGAGAAATCAAGACAGAGAACAAGCGTTGCCTTTCTAATCAACACAGCTCCACATGTCCAGGTGCAAGATCCCCTTGATATATCAGCCAACCTCAGTTGCTATGAGATTCCTGTTAGCAAGAGTAAGGCTACTCTGCTATGCAGGAAGTGCCACACAGTACAGTTACTTAGGGCTTGTTTTGAGCCAAGAACTGCACTGGGTTGAGCTCATTAATTTATTTACACAACACACGTGGTAGATCCAGGAACGAAGTCACATCGCTTTCCGGCTCCTTTGTGCATTCATACAGGTTACTGCTGGTGTCTGACAGCCTGTGGCGTGTTCTCCATTGCTTCTATGGGTATAAAGCAAGCCAACTCAATCTCCACAGCTTTTTAGTTTATCTGGTCAATTCAGAGGGGTGCAATTATGAAATTAACACACCCACATTTTAAGTGGGTATTTTTCACTTTTATATGGAATATTTTCTTCAGTGTTCAAGCTTCTAATACTAAACACTAGGACAGCCCTAGAAGAACCCAAGGAAAAGGGAAGGAGACTGGCAGGGAAGCCATGGTAAATAAATGGGAGGGGCTGCAGAAGGGAGGGCTCTTGCGAGGAAGAGGAGGTGAGGCAGAGATGGCATCAGTTGAACCTGATGATACTAGAACAAACAGGAAAGCCAGATTTTACCAATTGTTTGCCCCGTATGACTTTTTTAAAAATTATCCTCGTGCATGTGACAGCAAATAAGAACCAAGAAAGGGGCTTTTACGAAAAAACTTTTTAGAATGTGTGAAACAACAAAAGGTCTAGTTTTCCATCTCAGCTGTCTTGTGCAATCACATCAAATAAAAGCTCAGCAGGCCCAGGGGTCACTGCTGCTTCTAATTAAGGCCCCAAGGTAAGGCAGCACATTAGGGGGCATCATCTGAGCGCAACATAAATTCTAGCTCTGTCTCTAGCAGCAGAAGCCCGATTTGGGCTCAGTATGCCGTGTTTGCTCTCAGCTTGCATTGGAAGTGGCAGGCCGCACCTGCCTTCCAGACACCCTACAAGCAAGTTTATTCTGACACTGATTCTCTTGTTCAAACAACTCAAAGCGTGGCTAACAGATGGTAAATAGAGGAGGAAAGAGGAGCCAGGCATGCTTCCACTTTTTGTGTACTTTTGGGTGTGTGTGGATGGGGTGATGTACCTGAAAGTTACTCTCTTTCCTTTTCAAAAGTGAGAGCGCATCCATCACACAGGTGTCAACTCTGAAATGCTGGAAGCTAATAGAGGGCCTTATTGCTGCCATATGTTTCAAAGAGCATGGTTTTCCAACTGGATTGATCATTAGACTCACCTGATGGGCTTGTTAAAAATTCAGATTACCAGCCATACTCCAGAGTTTCTGATTCAAGAGGTTCAAGAATCAGCATTTCTGACAATTTCCCAGGTGATGCTGGCCCTGCTAGTTCGGGGACCACACTTTGAGTATCATGGTTCTCAGACAATAAACAGATAGAGAAAAGGCAAAGAAACATCAGCTAAGCCTCCAACCCAGACTTTTTGATTTTTTTGAGACACAGCTGGGATAGACAAAAAAGAGACAGCTGTGTTTGGATGGGGGCAGCTATGCAAAAGGGCAAGCCGGAGGCAGGCGGAGGAGCGTGCTAAAAAGGACTAGCACGTGTGCAACAGTTATGAGGAGTGGGATTCATATTTGCTGCGGAGGGGCTGAGGACCTTCTTCAGTCCCCAAGCTTCCTAAACCACTATCAAGGCTCTAGGTGGGGTCCTAGCTCTTCATTTCCTTCCTGGCCTATTATACAAGCTCTGGGTGCCTGAAACCCCTGCTCCTCCCTGTCCCCTCCTATCTGCCCAAGTAGAAAAAACCCAGCTGGTGGGGAAGGAGCTTCCTCAGCTTGGTTCCTGGGGAAGAAGAGCTGAGAGTCAGCACATTCTAGGTTCTGTTGTTTTAGGCCTGAGCTACGGGACGCTGTAGCTCCATTCCCAGCCTACCCTCACACCCGGTTAATTCTACCAGAAGATTCGGGCATGTTGTTAATTACAGGGGTTGGGAGTATCTGTTCCTAAGGTCTTTGAGGGGATCTGTCAGACAGAGGGAAACATGAATACAGTGTTCCTGTTTTAATGTGGTTTTTCCTTCCTTGCTGATATAACTTCTCCACCTAGTTCCCAGTGAGATGGTACAGGCTGAACTAACGAAATAGCCAAGGCTCCTGGTCCCACCATATGAGTGTGAGTCACCAGCAGGACCAACTACTTCACGTTCAGGGCCCAGTACAAAATAAAAGGGCAGGGCTCCATGTTCAAAACTTACTAAGAATTTCATGATGGCAACAGCAGAACATTAAATTAAGCACAGGGTTCTTCTGTGTATGGGGCCCTGTGTGACTTCACTGGTCGCAGGCCTATGGAACTGGACCTGTCATGGGATTGTCTATGAGTGTATAGACCAAGAATCTCTTTGTTTAGGCTGGGATGCTGCCCCCAGTGGGGTAGAGGGAGCCTCCCTGGAGTAGGCCCTCTAGAAGGAATGGAAACAAGAGTGAAGCCAGACAAACAGAAAATACAGTCCTACACCTCAGAGAGCTCTCTGTGGCCCTGGGAGGCAGACAGACACCAGTGCTAAAAAGCAGATTTTTGGAACAACTTCACATGGACAAGATGACATGGCTGGCCATCCATACATCTTATTCTGCTTATGGGCACTTTTCCAGTGAGGTTATCCAGGAAAGATAAACACAAGAGAGCCTTCGCCATCAAGGGCAGGGGAGGGAAAGCTGAAGGAAGGAGGCTCCAGCACCTTCTGTGTGATTGCTGCATTTTGCGCTCGGTTTCTGGAGGCGTCTGACAATATTCAGAATTCTTATGTGCAAATCAGGGAGTTGAAATACCTGACCTCTAGGTCCCTCTCAGCTCTGTTAACATGTGCCCAGTCTTCTCTACAACAAAGTTCCAGGTATCTGTGACATAGCAAACTATTCTAAACCTTGGTGGCTTAAAACCAAGGTTGGTTACAAATATATATGAATATTATAAAACCACCATTTTATTATATCTCACTGTTTTGTGGGTTAGGAATTCAGACAAGGGTCAGCCGTTCAATTTTTATGTTCCACATAGTGTCAGCAAAGATCATTTGATGGAGGATGGGTTAGGCTGGAGGGCCCAAGATGGCCTCGCTCATGTCTTGCACCTTGATGCCTTGATGGGGATTGCTGGGAGGCTGAGCTCAGCTGGCACCAATATGCAGCCTTTTAAGCCTGCGAACTCGAAGTAATGAACTTCTTGCATGATAATTCAGGGTTCTCAGCAAGGATTCCAAGGAACGCAGTGGGCAGTTTCAACCCCAGCCATGGAAATTTCAGAATGTCACTTCTACTGCATTTTACTGGTCAAGAAAAAGCTAGCCCAGATTCAAGCAAAGAAAAATTGGACTCCACCTCTCAATATGAGGAGTAGCAAAGGATTTATTTGTGGCCATTCTTGATCCACTACGAATGTGATTCATACAAGAAAGAAGAGAAGGAGCTCAAATCAGCATACCTGTGGTCAAAGAAAAAGCCTGGACTCAGTATTAAAATATTAGGAGATAAATGCACATTTTGTGTTTTAAGTTAAAATATTTGAGATACAGGGGTCCCATTTTTATACTGATTCCTCAACTCTTTTCCCCCTTACTTTGACCTATCACTTGACTCAGTTGTACAGAATAAGAATCTCTAAGGTTTTTGAAAAAATTCAAGAACTTGGGTCCATGACAATACCTTATGTGTCCTTAGGGCTTCAAAGTGCGGAGTGAATTCCTAATTCAACACAAACAAACAAAACCAGGCGCCGACTTTCTTTTGTGCCGGACCTTCCCACAGCAAGCCCCGTGGTTTGTCCTGCGAAGCTCCATTTCTTGGTGCTAACTTGCATTTGTTGTGGGCCATTTTCACCTCTTTCTTCCACTGTCACCTTAGCTACCTGACATTTTCCAGGGCACACTTTAGCCACATGTTTCTCCGACACAGAGGCTCCCTTCCTGTGCCTGCTTCTAGCTTACGCTGGGAGATGCTTCTCACTCCGAACTTTCAAAGAAAACCAAGGTTTTCTTTATGAGAATGTTGAAGTGTTGGCCATCTGCCAACCCCTCTCATGACGCCATCCTTGCTCAGGCCCCTGAGTTTCCATAATGATGCATCCCCAGGTGCCATCATCCCCTCGTCTCCTACAGACCCTACAAGTTCCCATCAGACCCTGCACCTCTGTGGTCCTGGCATCCTTTGTTGCCATGGTAACCATCTCTGGGCTTCCACACACCCTTTCTCATGCCCAGAGTCCCTTCTCCAATAGTCTCTGGCAACACAGAGCCTATAGTTTTCAATCATGCTTCCCCATTAAGCCTCTTCCAGCTCAGGTTACCCATAGCTGCCCTTTCCTCACTGAATCCCGGCACTCCTTTGCCCGCTGTCCACGCCATCTCTCTCCTGCAGCCCCTGCATCACCTTAGAACTGCTCCTAGCTTCCCTGCCTGCATGTCTTGCCATCACCCTCTGCAGTGCAGACCCTCTGAGAGCACAGATCATGGTTGATGCGTGTGTATGTGTGTGTGTGTGTGTGTGTGTGTGGTCTCATCCAGCGTAGAAAACAGGACTGGGCTTCACAGTCTATGCCCTAAAGAGATGTACTGAAATTAAAGTATACAAACGGTGCCAGGTGTTGGACTCGGCACTTTATAGTCCATGAACTCTTCATTTTCACCAATACTACTATGACCTCCTCTCAGGTCCCAGTTTAACAACATTCCACAACAGGAAAGGATTTGGATGTCCCGCATAGTTAATTATAATGAGATTTTTTTTTTTTTTTTTTAGTTTTATTTTAGATTCAGGGCGTTCATGTGCAGGTTTGTTACCTGGGTTATAATGCGATTTGGCATCTGGTACAAACACAGCTCAGAATGCCAAATAAAGGCATGAACATCGTGAGGTGGGGTCAGTGGCACAACTTGTTAGCAGGTGAGCATAGCTTACGTGGCTCAGAGTTCAGGCAGAGAGAATATTCTAGACCAGAGAAATCTCAGCCCTAGGAGCCAGCCATTTGTGAGTGAGGGACGAGAAATAGGTTTCCTGCTCTCGAGGAGAGGAACTGTGTAGGAGTTGTGAGGAATGAAGTTGTGGAAGGGAAGGGTGGATCCCAAATCCCACACCCTCAACAAAATCAGACTTTAGTTGTTAAATATTTTACAAAAATTTGAACCAGTGAGGAAAAGAACAAGCCACAGAAATTCATTCTTGGCTCCCGTCAGACAATTGAGCCCCAAACCATGATCTTAAAACTTGTTTGCTATAGAACAGGCAATTGGAAGACCAAGCGGCACTGACACGTCTGGGGGCTCCGTGGCTCAGCTGCCAGCTGGAGGGTTGGAATGGTTGCCAGCAGCCTGCTCTGGTACACTCTGTCCCATTCTGTCCCTACCCAAGTCCACTGCAGTAATTAGCTCTGCTCATTAGTTTCAAGTAAATAATCCTCTTGTGACAGCTGGGATCCTTTATCAGAGCAGTGGACATTAGGATTTGCAGAAGCAAAATGATTTTTTTTCCCCCTGGAATTCCCTGGAACACTAAATCATGACCCAGTAATCTGAATGAGGTGAGGAGACTTCCTAAGACATCTAAAAATTCCGAAAAGCAGGTCTGCATTAAAAAATGGAGGAGTTGGGTATTTAAAACAAATTGCCAAAATACAATAGCCACCACCACCCTTAGAAGCGGATATTGATTTTTTCTTCAACTCAGTTTAACAGTTCAGGTCATCAGAAAGCACAAAGTGTTTGTCAAGGGCTGATACTGAGGTAATCTGACCCTGGGAGAGCATCCAATCTAGGCAGAGGGAGGATGACAAGTAAACTGGTCTAAATGCACTCATGGCATTCTTGCACAAATAATGCAGGCAAATAGCAGAATGCATGGAAGGAGGGTGCTTTAACCCCACCCGGTTCTTCAGGGATGGCCTCCCAGAGATGTGGCGCTGATTTGAGAAAGATGAGGAGTGGCAGCCAGGAGTGCCTCTGCAAGGTTTTCAGGGAGGAGGCACAGGCTGGATTCTGAGGTTTGCAAAACAACTGGCAAAATACATTTCCTCATCATTTTGTCCCTTGGTATCACATCATTGTGCCCACTTCAAAGAAGGAGAAAGCGAGAAGAGAGACCAGCTCTGCCCCTGGATGACCTGTGGCGTTGGGGCTCAGGGGACAGCTCTGACATTGTGAGACAGGACCCCTGCCAGTGTCAGGAAGGGCTTCAAGGTGGCAGGGCATCTCATCCCAGACCCTTTAAGCTCTGCCCTCCCCATCCCCATCCTAAGGACTTCAGGGGCATCTGCAGCATCCTTCGTCATGGCCAGAGAGGGTTCCCATTCTGCTTTAAAGCCTCCATGGGTCACAGCTCAACACCAAATGCCAATCTCCTTCTGGGGTGACAGAGGCTTGCTCTGGAGTTTAACACAGGGTTGCCCAAGAGCAGAAAGGAAACATGGGTAGTTCAAGGGCAAGAAGGATATGTTTTCTGGCAGATTGATTGGAAATTGCAAGATGGAAAGACAAGGCAAAGAGGTCAGTAATTGTGTGTGGGTTAAGAGGATGAGCTTTGGAATCAAATAGTGCTGGTTTTCAGTCCCAGCCCTGATAATTCCTAACTGCATAGGAATGTTCCTTGACTTCCCTGTGCCTCAGTCTCCTCATCTGTAAAGTGGGTGTGATAATAGCACTTACCCCAGGGAGTTGTTATGAGAATTAAATGAAGTAATATGTGTAGTCACTGCATACAGGGTCTGGCACACAGAGGCTCTCGGTGAATATTACCCATTGTTTTTTCTGTCCATTGGCATCCTGCATGTCACTGCATTGGGTCCCCCAATTCACCAAGTTTACCTGAGTCATCTAGATACTTGCCTTCATTTGATCATTTTGGAGACAGCCAATGATATTTTACACTGGTAATCATTTTTTTGTTTGTTTTTTGTTTTGTTTTTTTAACAGAAAATGAAAAGAAACTTTCTAGTAGCAAAGAAGAGTTTCTAGGAAGATTAGTGCTAGAGACAAACAATGGTGTCCACCAGGAAGCAAGTTCTCACGTCCTTTCCTGCAGAAGAGGCATATTTAATGAAACTTTAACTAACCGGTACCTAGTCCATGCCCTTGGCCACACTTAATGATGTGTGATATCCCAGATGGACAATCCCTGTGAACAGCCTGGCTGGACCACAGCATCCCACATCCTGGGATGAGCTGAAGTAGAGATGAGAAGGCCTTCACCATTTGTGCATTTGGACTAATTTATGTCACTTGTTCTTTGAGTAGCAGCTCCTACATTCAAGGTGCTGCTCCAGAGACCACTGCCCTCACCAGGGACAACAGAGGCAGAGCCACCAAATGGGGTGCACTTTGATTAGGAAATTGACAGTCTCCATCCACAGCTGTGGTCACAATCAGCAAACTCGACTTATTTACAACTGGGTAAAGCCCAGCCTGACCTCCCTATGAAAGAGGCAATCTGGGATTTTGACTCTTGTCTTGCAGAGCAGGAAACAGTCATGCTTGTTCGGTGCCATCCAACTTGACAAGGAAAAAAAACTAGGGCTTGCCCTCAGTGTCCTGATTCCAAAATCTTTATTGTCACTAAATCAAGTACTTTTGTCACACAGAGGGGGAACGCTGCACATCCTTTGCCCTTCAAAACCTAGAGGACATATTTAGGCCAGGCATGGTGGCTCACGCCTATAATTCCAGCACTTTGGGATGCTGAGGTGGGCAGATCACCCAAGGTCAGGAGTTTAAAACCAGCCTGATCAACATGGTGAAACTCCGTCTCTACTAAAAATACAAAAATCAGTCAGGCGTGGTGGCAGATGTTCATAATCCCAGCTACTCAGGAGGAGGCTGAGGCAGGAGAATTGGTTGAACCCAGGAGACGGAGGTTGCAGTGAGCCAAGATTGTGCCATTGCATTCCAGCCTGGGCAATAGAACAAGACTCAAAAAAAAAAAAAAAAAAGCTAGAGGACACATTTCAAGGACAGTTGGCTAGAGGCTATGGTTCTGGAACCCCTAACCTTTATTCACACCATGATCTAGAGAATTTGGCAACTAGTTTCAGCATGTGCCAAATTCTGCTGCTACCTGAATTAGAAACTTTCAGTCAGTTGGACAAATGGAGCACAGGGAAAATGCTGGGACTTAGAGACCTTCTAGGAGGACAGAGACAACCTGATTTATTCTTGAAGAGAAATTGCATGGATGGCTCTAGCTCGTCTCCCACTTCTCCCATTTTCCTAAACTACCCAGATTCTTCTATTTCTGGGCTTCCTTTATATTCTCTCTCTCTATGCAGTCAATCTCTCTGTCACTCAGCACCTACAAAAATTACCTGGCACGGCAAAAGAAACAGTCGTTAGAGTGAATCAGCAACCAACAGAATGGGAAAAAATTTTTGCAGTTTACCCATCTGACAAAGGACTGATATCCAGAATTTACAAAGAACTAAAACAGATTTACAAGAAAAAAACAAACAAGCCCATTCAAAAGTGGGCAAAGGATATGAACAGACACTTTACAAAAAAACACTTACATGAGGCCAACAAACATATGAAAAAATGCTCATCATCACTGGTCATTAGAGAAATGCAAATCAAAACTACATTCAGATACCATCTCATGCCAATTAGAATGGTGATCATTAAAAAATCTGGAGACAACAGATGCTGGAGAGGATGTGGTGAAATAGGAACACTTTTACACTGCTGGTGGGAGTGTAAATTAGTTCAACCATTGTGGAATACAGTGTGGCGATTCCTCAAGGACCTAGAAATAGAAATTCCATTTGACACAGCAATCCCATTACTGGGTATATATATCCAAAGGATTATAAATCGTTCTACTATAAGGACACATGCACGTGAATGCTGAATGTTCATTGCAGCACTGTTTACAGTAGCAAAGACCTGGAATCAACCCAAATGCCCATCGATGATACACTGGACAGGGAAAATGTGGCACATATACACCATGGAATATTATGCAGCAATCAAAAATGATGAATTCATGTCGTTTGTAGGGACATGTATGAACCTGGAGAACATCATTCTCAGCAAACCGACACAAGAACAGAAAATGAGATACCGCATGTTCTCACTCATAGGTGGGTGTTGAAGAATGAGAACACATGGACACAGGGAGGGGAATCACTACACACTGGGGGAAATAGGGGAGGGACAGTGGGGGGTGGGGAGTTGGGGAGAGATAGCATGGGGAGAAATGCCAGATATAGGTGAAGGGGAGGAAGGCAGCAAATCACACTGCCACATGTGTACCTATGCAACAATCTTGCATGTTCTTCACATGTAACCCAAAACGTAAAATGCAATAAAAAATAAAAAGAATTTAAAAATTACCTGTCCTAGGATCCAAAAACTTCAAGACTCTGCTTTTAGCCAAATGTGTCTGAAAAACTCCAATGAACAATTTTATTCTAAAGGGATAACTTACTATGTTGTGTTTCTCCAGAATATTTGCATTTCTTTAAAAAAAGAGAAGGTCGTTGACCTTAAGACTTAATGACAGACCTTTAGGCATTACGACAGGTGGTGGGGCAGGCAGTTCTTTACTGCAAGGGGCTCTCTTACCACACATGGGAGGCTGTTGTAAATTTCCTTTCTCCCTCTGTCCAATATGATCAGCGCCAGGTCACTCTTTTTCCTCTGAAATCAAAATCTCATCCAGCTGCTGGGAAGACAGAACAAAGCTGCCAACTGATGATTATTCAAGAACAAAGCAGACCATTTATTTTAGCAGTTTCAGAGCCATTATCTCCCCAGGACACGAGCTACAGTGTGTGCCGGCTTTATCTGCCCGAGTTTCCTTCTGTCCTCAGATCCTTAAAGAGGGCGCTGTTCCTCTTGCAGGAGCAAGACAAAAGGGAACAGGAGAAAGAAATTTCTTATAGCAGTGACCTACAAAACTTCTCTCTCCTTGGCTGCCTGAGCTTCTCAAAGGCAATATGATTTCCTAACTCTTCAAGAAACTCCAGACAGATGAGAGAAGGTAAAAGAGAAGCAGGCTCAGGCAGGCATCTTCCATTTGAAACAGGCCAGAAGACTGGGCTTGGCGGCTCACACCTATAATACCAGCACTTTGGGAGGCCAGGGTAGGAGGATCACTTGAGCCCAGGAGCTTGAGACCAGCCTGGGCAACATGGTGAAACCTCATCTCTACAAAAAAAAAAAAAAAAAAAAAAATTCAAAACAATAGCCAGGTGCTGGCACATGCATATAATTTCAGCTACTCAAGAGGCTGAGGTGGGAGAATCACTTGAGCTCGAGAGGTCCAGGCTTCATTAGCCATGATTGCACCACTGCACTTCATCCTGGGCAACAGAACAAGACACTATTCCAAAAAAAAAAGAAAAGAAAAGAGAAACAGGTCAGCCCAACACCGTCAACCTCACTACTCATTACCATCATCAAGGATTCAGGCTTCTTTGAGAGTCTCAAGAAGGAATTGTCAGATAAAACATAGGATGCCCAGTTATATCTGAATTTCAGATGAACAGTAAATAATTTTTCAATATACAAGTATATCCCATGCAATATTTGGGATATACTTATACTAAGCAGTCATTCATTATTGATTTGAAATTCTAATTTAACTGGGTATCCTGTATTTTAATGTGCTAAATTTGGTGACACTACCACATCCTATTTCTGCCCGATCTCCATCCCTCCCCCATAGCTGGCTCTGCCCCTACTCAGTCCGGGCCCGGTCACCTGAAGTGCAGCAGAGTTCCTTTGTTGCAGATGAGGACTTGGAGGGGTCCATACCAGAAACACCAGGAATCATACAGACCTACATTCAGCGCTGGGCAGCATCGGAGACAAACCTCACGTGGAGTCACCTCCCGTCTGGCTGCTTCGACCTTCTTGCCTAAGGTCGCACTGAACACCTGAAAAAGCAATAATCATTTTCTGCTCTTAGAGTCAACAGGGACCGTTTTCTCCACAGGAGATATTTTTGAGAGAGGTCTCCCACTTGTGTGCAGAACAGTTCATGGAAAACATTCATCTCTCTAAGCGTCATCTGAAAATTGCAAGTTTAGGCCAAATTCCTTAAGTCCTCCCTGCTCTAAATTCTGTGAGTCCATGTATCCCCTGGCTCTCCCACCATGGTGCTGCCCAGGCCTGCTCAGTTCTCGGCCACCCAGGGGTCCCACTCCTACCTCAGCTCCTTCTCTCATGGGGGTCCCCATGGCAAACTGCTCCCAGCTCTTCCTGAAGCGTCTGACATTTCTCTACCTTCCTAACCTCGCCCTCCCGTTCAGAAGATGGGTCCTGCTTGGAGACCATCACTGCAGTTGGGACCCTGAGCCTTCTGGCCTTCCCACTGGTCATGGTTTATCTCCTACTTCCCCAGGAGCAACCAGTCAATATTAAGCAACACTCATTATCCCTGATAAGTGTCACTTACTGGAATTCAGGTTGAAAAGCAATCACACGAATTCTGATGCAGTAAAAGCCAACATGTGGGCTTTATGCTGAGTCCTTCATGCACTTGGTAAAATTCACTTTTAAAGTAACATGAACCCAATACCACCCAGTCATGCTTCTAACACAATTATCCTTCCCTCTTACCGCCATGTCTTTACCCCTTTTTAGTGTGTGCTGATTGCTGTTTTAATGTGTTCTCTTTCCAAACAGTTTGTCCATTTCAATTCATTGACCAGTAAGGTCCATGAAAAGTCAGCCCATTTTTTATGCTTAAATTGATTCTCTGCTAAGATCTATCTAACTGATAGCTTGTATTTTTCCTCTCACTCAGTCTCTTCCATTTTTGTTCTGCCCAAAGTATACCCACCCTTTCAAGATTCACTGGAATTTGTATTTTGTAATCTAGTATACAAGGTCCTCTGAAGACACCTTTAAAAAAAAAAAAAAAAAAACAAGTGAGGACTCTACCTTCTGACACATTTTATCATTTGAAAAACAGACACAAAATTATTTAGTCATTTCCCCAAAGTCAACATTGGTGAACATTTCTGGGATTAAGAAAAACAATATGATAGGACTTTGTGGTAGAGAGATTGCCTTTTATATTTTACTTGTGACTTTTCCCAGTGCCAAAATTCTATGACTCTATGGATTAATATTCTCCCCTGGCTGCTAATGGAAGTGTTTGGGGGACTTTTCCTTCTAACAGTAAGAGTCTCAAGGCTTAACATTCCAAAGTGCTGGCTATATCCCCAATGCAAAAACAAAAAAATCTGCCATGTAGTAGCTATTTCTATTGTTTTGTAAGAATGAAAAGAAGTCACATAATTAAGCCTGGAGCCCAGGAAAAGGAGCTCAAAAAGATGCCTTCTGTGGTGCCATGATAGCGGATGACAAAGCAGATGAACAGGAGCCCTTCCTGTCCCCCAGACAGAAGGTCATGTGAGTCGAGTCTCCTCCTGCATCTCCGGCCAGGCTACACCTGGCTGATGTGTTTATATAAAACTGGACAACTAGTGAATGGAAGTTTACCGCCCAGGGTCTCCCAGTGAGTTTGTTCATTTCTTCATTCATGCAAACCCATTTATTGCATCTCTCATGTGTCAGGTACTATGAAAGACACAGGAAACATAAAGGTCAACGAAACTCTGTCTGGACCCTCACAGAACTGCAGACTGATGCATGAGACAGAGCCACAAATAATAATGCATCACAACGCGTCACAGTGCATATCGAAGTGTTGAAGTAAAAGAGTGGGTGCTCTGTCACAGCGACTCTCAACCAGGGCCAATTTTGTGCCCCCTACTCCCACCCTGAGAAGTTTAGCAATGTCTGCAGACATTTTTGGTTGACACCGCTGGGCTGAGAGATGCGACTGGTGTCTAGTGGGTAGAAGCCAGGGATGCCGTGAAACATTCCACAGTGCATAGGGCGGACCCCACAACAAGGAATCATCCAGCCCCAAAAGTCGACAGTGCTGAGGTTGAGAACTCTGGTCTAGTGGGATGAAATGGGATGTAGTCAGATCCATCTGGCTGGCTCTGAAATTTGGGCTGACTTAATCACTTTTGTTCTTTTCATAGTTGTGTAATTGATTGGCTTTTACCCCTAAGCAAGTTATTTCACCTCAGTTGGCTTAAGTTTCCTCATCTATAAAATAGAGTTAGAGTCTATGATCTCTAAATCCATTCCAGTCTAAGAAGCTATGGTTTTATTGGACGTATATATATACATATACCAAGTTTCACTCTGTCACCCAGGCTGGAATGCAATGGTGCAATCTTGGCTCACTGCAACCTCTGCCTCCCGGGTTCAAGCGATTCTCCTGCCTCAGCCTCCTGAGTAGCCAGGATTACAGGTACCCACCACCATACCCAGCTCATTTTTGTAATTTTTGTAGAGACAGGGTTTCACCTTGCTGGCCAGGCTGGTCTCAAACTCTCGACCTCAGGCAATCCGCTTGCCTCAGCATCTCAAAGTGCTGGGATTACACGTGTGAGCCACCGTGCCTGGCTTTTTAGGCCAATACTTATGCTTTCGCTGAATCCTGCTTCCGAGAGGAGAATGCCTTGGCCAAAGACTGTTTACTCCACTCCAGGTCAATGAGATAAACTAGTTTCCTGTGTTGATCCAGAGTCTCACTCAGGAAGGCTGCGTGCAACCTCTGCCCAAGGACACTGAGTTAGGACACTTCCATCTTTGGCGTTTTCTCATCTGCAAACAGGAGCTACTTAGCTGCTCTGCCTCCCTGTGTCCGGAGGAAACCTTTGAGTCAGTGAAGAGATGGAAAATTACCCGGATGCTGTTCCTGTGACTAGGTCCAAACCACAAATGCCACTTTTCTCCCTTTGGGGGACCTGTGGCAAGGACAGGGTGGGGAGACACTGTGCTGTCCCCATGGTGTAGGCTGGTGGGCTGGCTGGGGAGGGACAGTGTCTCTTTACATGTCTGTGGGACTGCCTCAGGGAGGACCTTCGTCATTTCTCTCACTGATGACAAGAGACTTGGATTCTAGGCCACATACTTTACGCTCTGGGGACTGGGTGGGTATCTGGTGCCCTCAAATTCTCATTCTCTGTCTCTCTTTCCCCCACCGTGGCTTCAGACTTAGTCACCAAACAGAAAGAGCTTTTCTGAGCCAGCCTACCGGAGAACAAGAGCAGCTACGGAGACCAGGGGAAGCCAGGTCCCCACAGGAGGGGAGGCGCTCCTGCCTGGGTCTGAACAGACGCCTCTTCAATGCTGCTGCCACGCTGCTGTAGCCGGAAAGGCAGAGAAAGGGAGAGAGGGCCGGGCTGGAGAGAGGGCAGGGCGGGTCTTGGCAGCCAAGGAGTTCCGTGTTACTGGGCTCCCTGTCTTGGCAGAAATGCATGAAGGACTCCAACTGGAGTATCTTTGTGTCCTGTCGCCTGCCAGACCAGTGTCATCTGAAGTAGCAGGTCCTGTGTGCCATGAACAAACGAACTGCTGGGAAAAAAAAAAACAACTGCAATCCAGAGACATTAAATAACATGCCCAGATTATTTCAGCTGCTAATCAAAGGGACTTCTATCCAGGTTGCCATCAAATTTGCTTCGCTGATCTTATCAACAATAAAAGTTCCTGGCCTGGTGCGGTGGCTCACACCTATAATCCCAGCATTTTGGAAGGCCCAGGAGGGCAGATCACGAGGTCAAGAGATGAGACCATCCTGGCCAACAGGGTGAAACCCCGTCTCTACTAAGCTTACAGAAGTTAGCTGGGTCTGGTGGCCTGTGCCTATAATCCCAGCTACTCAGGAGGCGGAGGCAGGAGAATCGCTTGAACCCGGGAGGCGGAGGTTGCAGTGAGCTGAGATTGTGCCATTGCACTCCAGCCTGGCAACAGAGCAAGACTCCGTTAAAAAAAAAGGAAAAAACAATAAAAGTTCCAAGTCAGTTACAGATATTTCCCACTGTGTATATTTTCATTGTTTGGGATTTTTTGTTGGTGGGGGCGGGGGTGGTTGGAGGTGGTGAGGTTGGTATGAATTATATTAAGTAAAATGTGCAAATCTTAAGTACACTGTTTAATGACCTTTATAGATGTATATACCCAAGAAACGAGTTCCCAGATGAAGATATAAAACATTCCCATCAGTCTAGGAAACCTATTTCAGTCAGTAGCCACTCCAAGAAATAGCCGGGTTTTCTTCTACTTCTATCACCTTAGATTAGTTTTGCCTGTCCTTGAACTTCTGATTATCAACCTCATATTCTTTTCTTCAATATAATGTATTCAGGGTTCATCCACGTTGTGTTGGTAATTTGTTCGTTTTGATTGCTAGGTAGTATTTCACTGTATAAAGATACCACATTTTGTTTATCCATTCTTCTGTTGATGGATATTTGGATTCTTTTCAGTTTTTGGCTATTATACTATATTTGTCCTAAAGACATTGGATAATTTTTTGTTAATTGCTCTCAAAACATGTGCCTATTTTAATTCCCCTTCAAACAAACTCTAATAAAAGTCATCCTCCAAAGGTCCCAGAAGTTGAGATAGAAGAAGTGTTTATTAGATGACCTCAAAGATCCCTTCAGACATGAAATCATCTGATTCAAGGTCTTCCCTAAGAGCTCCTGTTAAGCACCTACTTGTGTGAATTCTAACAATGTTTTCTCTGATCTGCAGTACAGACAGTGGTTGTTTCCACATAGAAATAACCCCTGCACCTATAAATTCACCGACAAAGACTTGAGAACTTATTCAAGCACAAAACGATAGCCTGATAGCTCTTTACCAGAGGCTACCTATCTCCAGATGAAAGACATTCTCCTGTTCTGCCCACTGGAAGCAAATTAGGGGTGACCAGAAGAAATGGTGGAATGTAAATAAAGACATCCATTTCATTTCAACCCTTTTGTCCTCCATGGAAAACAACGGTAGTTTCCTTCTTGAATAAGGTGGGAAAGAATGAAGCCAACAGTGGACTATTCACCAGGCCTCCGAAGCATTTCTCAATTTTCAGATCCTGAAATGAATTCCTACCACTCATTGTTATTCAGATGTTAATTTCATCTAATGCTGACTCTAATGAGTCTATACTATACCTGGTGAGCCGAACTGCCGTGCACCCTCCAACACACCATCAGGCTTCTATTTAACCCAGACAAAGGGGCTTTTATACTCTTCCTGGACAGGAAAAGATTGGAAACAATTTTTTAATGTTACATTTATTTTTTTAAAAACTTTGCCTTAAGATTTATTCAACAAATATTCATTCAGCCACAAGGACTGAACTCCCAAAGGTCGGAATTACCACTATTGTGGTACCCAGCATCTTACATGATGTTATAAGAAAGGAAAATTCAAAAGAAAATCTGCACAATGGCCCACAATGGCTTTAGTCAGACACGTAGGGAATAGAACCGAGGCTTGTAAACTAAAGCCGACTTCTTGCTTGTGTAACCGGAGTTTTGTTACATACTTCACTGACAGGTACTGGTTATAAACCTGTTTATAGACGTAGAACAAGACAGGATGCAAGGAGTTTCCCTCCGCCAGACCCTAAGGCACCTAACCTTTCTCCTACCCACTCTACCATGTATTTACCTTATCTTATGGACAGGGTCACCGAGCACCAATCAGAATTGCTTCACTCCTCCTTTCTCCCGCCTTCTGTGCCACGCCATCCCCCATTAGGAAATGTGTCTATACTGTGCCTCCTGTAACCCACTTAGGGACACATTCTTAGTCTATCCTGAGTCTGTGTTCCTGGGCTTCATCTTCAAGTGTGGCTCAGAATAAATCTAACCGTGATTTCTCTGAGACCTAGTGCCTGTTCATTTCACTTTTCAGGCAGTGATGTATACCATCCAAACACCTCTAATCCCCCCACACACCACAGAGAGATTCCCTCCCACCCCCTCTCTGTCTTCTCTCATCCCTCTCAGCTCAGCCCTGATCTCTCTTCTCCTCTCCCCTCTTATTCTATCCCTTTTCCTACTTCCTGTCTCATAAAGCCTCTTTATGAACTCACGGAAAAAAGAAAAGGGGGTGAGGGTGGAGAGAGGACACGCATCTGTAGCTGTTACAACTAAACAGCCTTTATACTCAAGCCATTCAGATTCCTGTATCCTGTCTTTAGGTACCATTGGTTCCTCACCTTACCCCACATATACCCCAGGAAGATAGCTGCACTCCAGCTGGCCTAATGCACCATTGTTTTCTCTAGCTCCTTCACATCAAGACCCAAACCTCCCTCATCCCTAGCTTAACCAAGGTAGGGAATGAAATTTTTCCCTGGGATCCTAATGAGCAGTGGTAGTCCCTGAGCTGCCAATCTTATCCTCACAACAGGCAGGGGTGGTGCTTGTCTGTCATTATACTTGACTCCTTCCCCTTCCTTTCCCTAAGCTGGTCTCGCCCTTTCCTTAAAATGACAACACTGTGTAGAATCAGCTCCTGACAACCTCCCCTACCCCAATCTGTCCTGGCCAGCCAGGGGTCTAAAGGCGTCATCCGAAAGCCAGGGTATTTTTTCTAACTTCTCCCCGCCCTCCACCCACCTCTTGTTCTTTCAAGAACAAATTCTTTCCCTGGAGTTTCTAAATTAAGAGAAAAAGAAAAGGAGTTTCTTCCATTTTCATCGTGGATGAAAACAAGCCAGTCAGTTATTTACCCCAAATCTGATTCCTGAATGACTCAATCCGAGACTGGATTTGAATTTTAAAGGCAAACCTAAAAAGAGTTTCTGAGATATTTTTTTTAAATTCACCAAAAGTGGCCGGGAGGTGAATTTGCTAAGCTGCGGTTATTGGCAAGAAGAACTGTAAAGGCAGGAAATTCTCTGCATAACTAGCCCGTCTTCCCGAAGCCCGCCAGGAGCAGGAACAGGAGCTTCCAACTCTTCCCTATTTCTCCTGAGTCCCCAGTCCAGGCAACCACTGGCTCTGGGCACAAGCCTGCCAGCCTCTTACTGCAAGTCACAGCGTATGTTCACATCCATTCATCAAATCCCATTTGGCAAGAGTTCAGGCAAGAAGGGGGGATTAACTTGCAGAGACACCAACTACTCCCTCCCTCATGGCTGCACAATGTCCTCTCCTTCTATGTAATCCAGCCAGACAGCAGCCAAGATACCCACCCCAAGGAACCTTCTGGAAAATTCCTTCTGGAATCACCCCATTCCCCTACCCCACCAACTCCACCTCTCTGACCCAACTCCCACCACACACAGACACAGTGTATTAGTCAGGGCAGGATGGGTGCTGCAACAAACATCCCCAAGATCTCAGTGAACTCACAGAGTGAGGATTTATTTGTCTCTCATATTTAACATTTGAGCAAATATTGCTATGATTTTTATGTTTTTCCAAATTATACTTCTAGCCTTCAAGGTCTTAATTTTTTGAGGAACTGTGACTTATCCATGTTTATGTAACAGAGATGTCCTTCTTCATACTTTGCAGTGTAAAGAACACACTTCAAGCAGGTCCCAGACGGAAGGTTCAAGCCTTCAAAAGCTGGTAGCAGCTGGAAATCCTATACTTTTATTTTAATTCTATATTTTATGAAGTTCCAACTCCTTTGCTTTTATATAGCCAAAGATACCTGCATTCTCACCAGTAGGTAATATAGGTAGGAAATGAGAGGAAAAAATGCAAAGGAAATGAGAAGTCAGAGAGGGATCAAAACTTACTCAGCCCTATCCACCTCTGCCAACAACAATAGCAGGCTGGTAGCTGGGCGCGTAGTCAAGATCATCAACATACTCCCTGGAAGCCATAGTAGTGACCCTCCAGGGTTATGCTCAGCCAAGAAAACTGTGCTAGAGATCCGAGCCCCTTCCCACAAGGACTTTTTCAGCTACTTCCCTGGGTCGGCAGACGGCTAGAGACCTAGATCAGGATGGGGTTGAGCAAGCATCTCTCAGATCCAGAACCATTTCTCCTTTCTCTCCTGCCTCAGTCAAGTGGATTTAACAGCTCTCCCTGTCTATGCAGCCATCAGTCTACCCACCTCAAACCTTCTAGTAACTTCCTTCTGGGGATCCAGCTGCCTGTCTCTGCCACTGGCCACAGTTGGAGCCAGCCTGATGCCCATTCACAACAGATCTCCCTAATTCTGAATCTCAGGGGAGGGTGTAAATGCCTATAGTAGATGGTATTCCTGTTCATCAATGATGCCATTTTTCCATGCTGTGGAAGAAGTATATATCCCTGGACTGCTGGACTCAGAAACTGCCCTGTGACTTACTTTAGCCATTAGGGGGAGCGGGGATGAAAATGTGGAATGTGTGTCACTTCTGAGCAGAAATTATGAGAGCCAGAGCATGGTTTACTTGACTCTGTTTTCCTCTGTCATGGTGACTAAGCAGTGCTTCATATAGAAGCTGCTGAATTAGCCCAGGTCCCAGAACGAGGACAACATGGAGGAAAGCCAGAGCCAACCCAGGAGGAATACGTTGCGTGCATGAGAAACAAACCTCTACTGATTCTTGTTGGAAGCCCTTGGAACTTCAAGGTTATTCTTTACAGTGGTGGAAGCTTGTTGGATCCTGACTGATAAAGTGAATGCCCCACCCTCCCCTCCCAGAATGGTCTGGGACTGCCTGTGTAAATTACACCACCTTCTTCCCAGAACTTTTCATATCCAAAGAGGCTTCTCAAAGAAATCATTTTGCATCTTTTCTCCAGGTCTGCTGCCTGTCTTCTTCAGCAAATAAGGAAGTCTCAACATCTGCCCTGGCCTGCGCTTCTAGTTCAGCCTCAATAGAAACTGATTGGCAGTCCCTTTGACTATCAAAGCAAAAAACCGTAATCTCTCAGGGGGCACTGCTACCACCGACATCTGCCCTATGGCGGTTTGTGCATGGTAGACACCAGTGGGTGTTTGTTGTCTGAAGGGAACGGGGGTACTTTTGAGGAAGAAATTGGTAGCATAGTTAGTAAAGTTTAAAGCCTGAGAAGTGGGTGGGACCATCTAGAATGTGTTCCATCTAAATTTCTACCCACGCTGTGTCCCTGTTTTAGCAACCTCCCTCAAACCCCTCCCCGCCAAAAAAACAAAAACGAACTTAAAAGCAACGGGTGTAACTCGGTTATTTTTAAACTGAAAAATACAAAGATCCAAGGCTTTGGGACAAGTCAAATTAAAATGCAATTTTTTTTAATCTCGCTGTCCTCCCCTAGACAAGGCACTCTCATTTGGAGTGGAGATTACGCTGGCGTTCGTCCTATACAAAGCCCAGAAGCTGAACTGATTGCATTGCAGAGGCTTCAGGGACACCTAAACCCGGCTTCAGAGGTGTCACCAGGGCAGCTGGCGTTTCCATCAGAGGAAAGACCTGGCCCACTTTGCTCAATTGGCCCATCCATTGGTGGCCCAGCATTTGCTCCCCTGAATCACTGGCTAGCGGGGCTGGCAGCAACAATTCAATATTCAAGGTCCACATAGACACAGGCGCTGAATTGCCCCAACGATTCTTTGACCTGGCGCAGAACACTCTATACACCATGGACCTCCACGTTGCAGGTGGATATTCCAGCCTGGCAGAGGCGTGCATGTATCACCGAGCCATTTATGCTGGCAACCCTTGAGGGCCAGATGACTTTTCTCCTTTAGAGGCTGGCCCTTCATAATTACAGCTGTGTTTGTGTTGTCATACCCAATTACCTCACTTACAGCCTTAAAATAGAATCCAGCCAAAGGTGCTGGCTGCGCAGACAAAGAGGGAGGCTTCACAGGACTCAGAACCTGGGGACTGAGCCAGAGGGGAGGGCTCAAAGCTAGACACAAACGTCCTAACTGTTACTCTTTTTCCTCTCCTCATGAGGGAAACAGAACAGCGCAGTAAGACTGTAAATGAATGAATGGGAGCATGATGGAGACAAAACTCCAAGTTATTCGTGTTTCTAGTGCAGAAACATTCATTTACCCATGAATGAAGTCAACCAAAAAGGGGATCTTAGGTGTCCTGTTAGCTAAGAGAGAAAACCCAGAGGAGTTCTATCACTGTCTCCGTGTTTCCCTCCAATGACAGGAATAACCCAATCCACAAATGACTCTTCTCTCCAAAAAGCATTTCTACTATCTCCCATCCCCACAGCTGCAGGCCACAGCAGAGAACCCAATGCAGAAGAGAGCCCTCCAATTAGAGAGCAAGAGCCCTTCCCCAGGTGGGTGGGGAAAGTAGCAGCTTGTCTCTGAGGGCAAGGAGGAAGCAAACCTCTGTAGAAACCCAGTCATAGCAATGCCCACAAAAACCGTAAGCTCTTCCTCCTGAGCTCTCCGTCTCAGCTAGGGACACTCCAGAATTTTTTTTTTTTTTGAGACAGTCTCACTCTGTCTCCCAGGCTTGAATGCAATGGGAACACAGCTCACTGCAGCCTCAATCTCCCAGGCTCAAGCGATCCTCCCCACTCAGCCTCCAAAGTAGCTGGAACCACAGGCACGTGACACCACAGCCTGCTAATTTTTTTTAGGTTTTGTAAAGAGGAGGTCTCACTATGTTGCTCAAGCTGATCTCAAACTCCTGGGCTCATGCCATCCTCCCACCTTGGCCTCTCAAAGTGCTAGGATTGCAGGCCAAAGCCACTGCCCCTGGCCAGAACTTGTCTGCCCTTGTCTCTCACTCCATCTTCTCCTCTCAGACCTCCATGTGTTTCCAATTTTTACATCCTCAGTCTTTCTCAAATCCATGCCCTTCTCTCCTTACCACAGGCTTCTGCCCTGATTCAGGTCTTTATCATCTGTCCCTGGAGCTTGGCATCTTCTTAACTGGTCTCTATCCTGCCAAGTCCACCCTCTACAGCACAGCCAACAATAAAGCTGAGCACCCCACCCCTCCAGTGGGACCCTCCAGGACTCCCAGTGACCAGTAGGGTACAGTGCTCATTGTAGCTCATGGCTTTCCACCAGGTCCTCCGGGCCCACCAGCCAGCCTCCCGCTGCTTCCTAGCTCCTACTTCATCTTCCAGCAAGACCAAACAGTGTGAGGTGCTGCACCTACATCAGGTCGTCTCTCCCCTCAGTGCTGTTTTTCAGGTTGTCCACTCCCTCACCATTCCTTCTTCCACAACCTAGTTAAATCCAACGCATCGGCCAGGCATGGTGGCTCACGCCTGTAATCTGGGATTACACTTTGGGAGGCTGAGGTGGGAGGATCACCTGAGGTCAGGAGTTTGAGACTAGCCTGACCAACATGGAGAACCCCTGTCTCTACTAAAAATACAAAATTAGCCAGGGGTGGTGGCACATGCCTATAATCCCAGCTACTTGGGAGGCCGAGGCAAGAGAATTGCTTGAACCTGGGAGGCGGAGGGTGTGGTGAGCTGAGATCACGCCACTGCACTCCAGCCTGAGCAACAAGAGCCAAACTCGGTCTCAAAAAAAGAAAAAATCCAATGCATCTCTAAACACTAAATTCAGATTTCAACCCCTCTAAGAAGCCTTCCCCAACACCTCTCTCCCTCTCATCCTCTACATGAGAATCCTCCACCATTAAATGTAACATCATGTGTTCTGGATATCTGCAGAGGAGTCTATTTCCCCATTATTATGAAGATTCTTGACGGCAGGGGATATGTCTTATTTGATGTGGTGTGTACCTACTGCTGGTACAGAGGAGATTTTCAAACCCTAGATGAATGAATGCGTGGATGAATGAGCGAAGGACAAAGGAAAACTGACTGCACCATCTTTGTGTTAGAGCCTAGAGGCAGAGCAGAATCTGCCCCCGCATGACCATGAGGAGGGCCCAGCCCAGCACTCCCTCCGAGGCACGGCACTTCCCATGTCTACGAGCCACAGCCCCTTTATTATTGGTTTTCTCATTTTTTTTGTTTTTTGTCAGTTTTTTTTTAGATGGAGTTTTGCTCTTGTTGCCCAGGCTGGAGAGCAATGGTGTGATCTTGGCTCACTGCAACCTCTGCTTCCTGGGTTCAAGTGATTCTCCTGCCTCAGCCTCCCGACTAACTGGGGTTACAGGTGCTTGCCACCACACCTGGCTAATTTTTTGTATTTTTAGTAGAGATGGGGTTACACCATGTTGCCCAGGCTGGTCTCAAACTCCTCACCTCAGGTGATCCACCCGCTTCCACCTCCCAAAGTGCTGTGATTACGGGTGTGAGCCACCGTACCCAGCCTGGTTTTCTCGTTGTCCTCTTAGCCCCTGCTAGGCAGCATATGGAAGTGTCTACCATGCAGTCGTTGTGTGATCCTTGTTACTCATCCTTTCTAAGCTTCAGGTTGCCATAAGTTAAATGGACTCTATTTTAGTAGCTACCAAATAGAACTGGGAAAACCAAATGAGATACAATGAGGTGTGTAGTCAGAACTCAGTAAATGGTAGATGTAACTCAGCTGGAAAATTGATTGAGAAATACAGGTGGTGGGAGTTCAGAGTGAAGACGTTTTGGAGCACTACTGTCTTCAGTAGAACATCTCCCCCTAAAGTATTCCTTACCTAATCAATTGCTCTGGGAAGCTCCACTGGCACGATTTCACTGTCTGCTACCAAAGGCAGTGTTATCCATTTCCTTGGCACACTCAACCAGTGCGCTCGGGATTGCCACAGAACAAGAAGAACATGGGGAGAGAAAAAAATCAGTACTGTAAGCTAGGCCAGGCCTTCCCAAGACTTCACTCAGGCACCTTGAGAAACTGCAGACATTCTCCTCCCAGCTCTACCAGCTGGATGACCTGGGACAAATGAAATTAGTTACAAACACATTTATTCCCAACCCAAATCCAAAAGCTAATCTTCACCCCAGTTTGTCAACAGTAGGTGACAGTTTGGAGATTTGAGACTTGCAGATGTGAAAAGTCTGGGACTGGAGGCCAAGATCGTGATTTCTGGTCCTGGATTCTCAATCACATCCATATTCCTCACTCAAGAGAGTGTCAGCCAGAGAGCAGGGGGGCCTGAGCCTTCTCAGCTTCAGCATCAATCATTGAGTATTCAATGGGCCACGGCAGGGTGCTTGCTACCCCGTGCTAGGTCCTTTGAGTGATCCTTGAAGATTTACACAGTAGAAAAAGAAAACATTACACTAGAAGCAAAGATAATTAGAGCCAGTAGGACCAATCTGGTGAGTAGAGGCCATGGTGTGTCGGAGCCAGCTCTTACAGACTTCCTGAGAGCCGATTGTTAATGCTTCAGAAATTTTGCAAGCCACTTGTTAAATTATCAGTAGCTCGAAATCAGTCATGAGGGGAGAATTTTCACCAGGGAAATTGGCAGGCATTACAAATCAAGGTTTCTCCCCAGCCCTCCAGAACTGGCTTACCAGCACTTCAACAAGGAGTTCCCAAAACAGAAAGCTTTAAGGCCAGCTAGGGGAGTGGGTCTGCATGGGGGCTATGGACTCACATAGACCTGTTTAAAATCCCAGCTCTAATAGCTGGATGACCTGGGACTAATTACTTAACCCCTCTGAGCCTGTTTTCTCTGTGTGTATAGAGCTCACATGTATTCAATGCTTACTATGTATCAGATACTATTCTCAAGATTTGTACGTATTAATGCATTGATTCCATGAAACAACCCTGTGAAGAAGAAATTATTATCCCCATTCTATAAATGAAGAAAATCAAGCCCAAGAGAGATTAAGGAACTCCACCAATATCACACAGCTAGTCAGTGGCAGAGCTGGGATACAAAGACAGGCATCTTTCCCCAGAGCCTGCCTGCCCTCTCACCTTCTAGCTCTGCACTGAGCTATACAGGAGCCACTGGCTGCGTGGAGCTAGCAGGTACTGGAAACAGAGCCGGTGTGAATTGAGAAGTGCTGTAAGTGTGAAATACACATTAGATTTCAAAGACCTCATGTAAAAAATGTATAAAGTATCTTGCTATACTACTCACTTACTTGTAGAAATGATAATATCTTGACTATACTGAATTAAAGGAAATATGTCATTACTATTCTTTGCACTTGTTTCTTTTTACTTTAAAAAAATTTTTTTTTGAGACAGAGTTTCGCTCTTGTTGCCCAAGCTGGAGTACAGTGGCACAATCTTGGCTGGCTGCAACCTTCACCTCAAGAGACTCTCCTGCCTCAGCCTCCTGAGTAGCTGGAATTTCAAGTGTGCACCACCATGCCTGGCTAATTTTTAGGAGAGATGAGGTTTTGCCATGTTGGCCAGGCTGGTCATGAACTCCTGACCTCAGGTAATCTGCCAGCCTTTGCCTCCCAAAATGCTGGGATTACAGACATGAGACACCGTGCCCAGCCTCTTTTTACATTTTTTTTAATATGACTAGTTGAAAATGTTGGGCTGGGAGCAGTGGCTCACACCTGTAATCCCAGCACTTTGAAAGGCCAAGGCAGGAGGATCACCTGAGGTCAGGAGTTCAAGACCAGCCTGGCTAACATGACAAAACCCCATCTCTACTAAAAATACAAAAAATTAGCCAGGTGTGGTGGCACACACCTGTAATCCCAGCTATGCAGGAGGCTGAGGCAGGAGAATCACTTGAACCGGGAGGTGGAGGTTGTGGTGAGCCAAGATCATGCCATTGCACCCCAGCCTGGGTAACAGAGAGAGAACCCATCTCAAAAAGAAAAAGAAAAAAAATGTTAAGTGACATTTGCAATTCACATTACATTTCTGTTGGAGTGTGCTGCTGGTTAGTGCCCTAACCTCCTAGCTCAGTGCATGCATTAAATCAGTTAATACAAGGAGGGCATTTAGCATTCTGCCCAAAACAAATTAAGCACCTAATAGCTACTGTTAATATTAGTGAAAGTACTGGTTTTCAGATGTAGTCCATTATTTTTCTTTCCATTTTTATTTATTTATTTTTTTTAAGACTGGGTTTCACCATGTTGGTCAGGCTGTTCTTGAACTCCCGACCTCAGGTGATCCGCCCACCTTGGCCTCCAAAGTGCTTGGATTACAGACGTGAGCCACAACACCTGGACCTACCTTTTTTTTTTTTCCAAACAACTGGGTTTAAAAAAAAATTTTTTTTTTAGAGAAAGGTTCTCACTGTCACCTAGGCTGGAGTAAAGTGCTGTTATCATAGCTCACTGCAGCCTTGAACGCCTGGGCTTAAACGATCCTCTGCCTCAGCCACCTGAGTAACTAGGACTACGAGCACATGCCACCATGCCCAGCTAATTTTTTCATTTTTTTGTAGAGATGGGCTCTATTTTGCCTCAGTTGGTCTTGAACTTCTGGCCTCAAGCAATTCCCCCACTTTGGCCTCTCAAATTGTTGAGATTATAGGCATGAAGCACCATGCCTGGCTCCCAAATAACTTCTCATAACAGAGAAGAGCGGAGCTCTGATTGCAGTAGTGTAGAACTTGGAGGAGGCCTCTCAAGGAGCCCTTTAGCCCTCGGCACCACCTCAACCAACTGGAAAACCCATAGGATGATGTAATCTTTAAATGTCCTTCAAGCTTTAGCATTCCCTATCATTTCAGAGAAGTTGAGGAAGCAGTATGGGAAAGAATTAGGTGTCGATGGCAGTATATTACAATGATTATGGAAAAACGCTCCCTTTTTGCTTAGGAAAATCAAAGTGGTTTGTTCCCAGGTCTTAGGCATAGCCCAGAAATGGAAGCATCGCAGATGTGAGTTGGGGGTCCCCTGTGGGCTCCTGGATCATTACCTATGCACCTTCGCATGGATAATCAATGTACCATGTCACCTCTCCACTTCAGCTCAGTCACAACCTGCCAACTTCCCACCTATACAGGACCTGGGCAGACCACACACAGGCTATTGGTACCAATATCCTAGTCAAGCCCCAGGGCCAGGCAACAGTGACACTCAGCCCAGGCATCACAGTGATTTTGCTGTCCTAAAGGCAGCTTTAGGCTCAATCAGCCCTGGTGTCTGCCAGGCAGGCTCCCAATTCTGCCTCCAGCCCTCGCCCCTGGCTCTGGTATTGTAAGTGTGGACAGGGAGAGCAGCCAACTCTTCGCCGGGCTCTCTAACAAGTTCCGCGGGTCTGTTTGTTAAAGAAAAATTCCAGTGGGTGCATCCAACACATGGAACTCAAGTACAAAAATTATATTTATCCACCCCACTGCCAAGGAGATCACATGCCCTGTGAGTCACTCCAGATGTGCTCAAAAACAGTCTCTCTCTGTGGAAGCCCAGACCCCAATCCCAGAGAGAGTCAAATGAAGAGAGGTACTGACTCCTGTCCCACCCAGGACGCAACCTTCAGCCTGCAGCCTTCTGAGGCAAAGTAGGCATTCCTGCACATCTGCAAAAGGAAGAGAGAGAAGCCCTTCATCATCCCACTGGGAAGAACAGCACAGGCATACCTGCAGCTACTGGGGTTCCATTGGGCTTGAGAATCAATTTTTCATCTTTTGAAGGACAAGATGCGTTGGAAGACATTGCTGCTTCTGCTGTTGTATTACAATGCTCAGGCTTCTGTGTGCCACAGGTGGAGCAGGGGTGAGTTGCTTTTTATTCATTTGTTTGTTTGATGCTCATTATTTTTTCTTAAATGCAATTCAAAATTTGGAGGGAAGGACATTAGGAACCCCGCACTCTTCCTTTATCTAATCTGTCAATTGCTTGATGCTTCTCGACGTGTTCCCACTTCTTAGAGGGTGATGGGAAAATGACACTGGAAAAATTCAAAGCCCCTGAGGGAACTCGGTTGAGGCGGAGATCCCAGAGAGCACCCCCTTCTGGCATCCCAGAGAGAATGCATTTCTGCTTCATAGAAGGTAGAACTCATTTCATCGAGTGCCCCCACCACCTGCAGCAGTTGGGCCGGATCATCTGAAGAGCAAGTGCCGAGGTCTGCTGCTAAAATGATGGAGTGATGGGGGCTGGGATGCCAAAGGCCTGCTCCCTGGAGGAACCAGGGCAGAGGCTCTGTAGGACATTGCCTCCTTACTGGGAAGGGACGCATCTCTGCAGCCAGGGAGAGGTGGGCAGGGGAAGAGAGCAATCTTTCTCCCTCTGTGCTCTGTGTGCATGCTCCGCTGCTCCCACCGGCCCCACTACCTCCTCACAAAGGAAGGGGGCTCAGCAAAGGCTGTTCTCTCATCACTGACTTCCCTCCCTTCATGATGTAGTTCCTCAGAGCTGGATGGCATCTGTTCTCCATTTCCCTGGGACTGGCTCTGCTTGGTAGACACCGGGAGCACTTCAGACCAGAGTTTATCACTGTTAGGAAAGGAGGGACCTACAGCACTGCCCACTCTTCACCAATATGAATGGAAATCTTTCCACTCTCTAAAGTCAACTGAGTTTACTCTCCTAGAAGGAACTGCAAGAAGAGGCTTCTTCAAGTCAGGCCAGTCAGTGTTTCCAGAGATGCACAATTGGAAGACAACTGGCATGGTGGCATGGACACGCCTCCTGCTTGCTTCTCAACGACAGTGTCGGGGAAGGAAGGAGTGCCGGGAGTAGGGATAGAGCAGCACAAGAGAAGGATCTGGAATGGGAGGGAGGTGAAAGCCACGGTACTTATTTGGGGGTTTATTTCCTCATAGTTAACCTAATATCAGGTTAAGACTGATAATAGAAACTTAACATCTCTAACAGGGATCTGGTCTTTTAATCTGGGCTGTGAAGTGATCATTGCCCAGAAACAAATAATATAGCATTCTCCGTTTTTCTCATAACATTTGCATACATGTGCACATACACACATGTACACTCCTCCCTTTTCTTTTTTTTAATTTTAATTTTTAATTTCTGTGGGTACATAGTAGGTGTACATATTTCTGGGGCCCGTGAGATGCTTTGATATAGGCACGCAATGCATAATAATCTCATCACGGGAGATGGGGTATCCATCACCACAAGCATTTAGCTTTTGTGTTACAAACAATCCAATGATACTCTTTTAATTATTTTTATTTTCTATTTTATTTATTTATTGAGATGGAGTCTCACCCTGTTGCCCAGGCTGGAGTGCAGTGGTGTGATCTTGGCTCATTGCAACCTCTGCCTCCCAGGTTCAAGCCATTCTCATGCCTCAGCCTCTCAAGTAGCTAGAATTACAGGCATGCACCACCATGCCTAATTTTTATATTTTTAGTAGAGATGAGGTTTCACCTTATTGGCCAGACTGGTCTCGAACTCCTAACCACAACTGATCTGCTCACCTCAGCCTCCCAAAGTGCTGGGATTGCAGGCGTGAGCTACCGCACCTGGTCCTCTTGTAGTTATTTTTAAATGTGCAATTAAATTATTATTGACTATAGTCACCCTGTTGTCACACCTCCCTCTTCATGATGTGCATAAACTTTGGGGTAGTATTTGGAAGTAAAGAGCAAAGAGATCTTGGAGTTGGGTTCTGTCACTCCACTCTTTATCACACTGGGGATTTGCCTCTTACATGTGGTAATAATGCCCACTCTTCCTAATGCACAGGATGTTAGAAAGCCGGAAGGAATCATCTGACTTGCAATATGGCTTGTAAACATGAGAACCACATTATGAGCTACTTTGTAAGAGACCTGATTTAAGTTCCATCTCTGTTTGGCAGTGTGATCTCAGACAAGTCTCTCAACCTCTCTGAGCTTTAGTTCACGAGCAGGCGGCAGTAACATCCATCACATCAATAAAACTTACCCTCATAATGTTACTGTGAGGGTCATATTCAAAAATGTAGATGAAAATGTTTTGTAAATGACAAAGGACAATATAAATATTAGCTATTACCTACCAGTTTTTGAAAAATAAAAATTTTTCACTAAAGGAAGTCTGAGGCTCTTAACAGGGGAATCTACAGCAATATTCTGGGAGCAAGTCCTCTGGCCCACATTCTTCCGCATCGGGAAAGGTCTGCCCCCAGTGAGGTCACGATCCACAGACTCAAAGCCAGCCTATCTTGAGGCCACAATGAGGCAGCGGATGTGAAGTGCTAGATTAATGGCTCGAGTCAGTGCTCAGAGTCAAATGATATGGAGGCCCTCCAACCATCAGCAAATGTCTTCCACGTATTGGATTTTTTTTTTCGTTTTTAACATTTTTTTCTAATTATAAAAGAAACACACAATTCTTGCCATCTTTTTTTTTAAGACAGAATAGGAGTTACACCCAAATGAATAACAGTTTTTTCCAGATACATTATATTCATTTCACCTTCATCCTTACCCCACCCTGACTCCAGCCCCAATTCAAAGTATTCCCTTTGGAAACAGTCTTAGGGCAATCTCTTCTGGGGATTTTCCTCTCCTACCCTCTGCCCTTCGGCCCCCAACCCCTTCACCACCCCACTTCCGTCCCCCACCCTCCTGCTCCAATACGTAGGAATGTAGACGTAAACCCACAGGCAATATACACCTTGCTGTCAGGACAGCCTTTCTCCTACCATCCTCCCGGCCTTTCTCTAAGCGCTCTCTAGGATTCCACCCTGGGAGGCAGCTTTCCACGCCAGGATCCAAGATCATCCATTCCAGCCCCACCAGCTTGATTAAGACCAAATGACTCACCTGTGGCCAAGCCAGGAAAGCCACATCTAAACACACACACACACACACACACACACACACACACACACACACACACAGGTGGCCCACATCCTAGCACATACCAGGTCCTGCCAGGGCACCGCTGGAACAGGGAGCACTAGCCAGACTTGAAAAAGAAATATGCATCTATTAATGAATCTGAATATCTATGCTTTCGTTGAATACATGCAAATTATTTTTAGGTAGTTTAATAGAGCAGCCCTTCCATTTTTTGGTGGAACTTACGTGATTTTCAGGTGTCCATTTTAGGGTTGTGTGTGTCCTCAGTCACGAATGTTCCACGAGGGAAGGGCCTGTGGTCAGTACTTAGTAAGTACTCACTGACTGCCGGGCATGGTGGTGCATGCTTGTAAATTCCAGTGACTCAGGGGACTGAGAGGACAGGAGTTCGAGACCAGCCTGGAAACATGGTGAGACCCCATCTCTTTAAAAAATTAAATTAAAAAAAAAATTAGCTGAGCATAGTAGCATATGCCTGTAGTCCCAGCCACTCGGAAGGTTAAGGTGGTAGGATCACTTCGGCCCAGGAGGTGAAGGATGCAGAGAGCTATGATTGCACCACCACACTCCAGCCTGGATGACAGAGCAAGACCCTGTGTTCAAAAAGAAAATTATCTTAAGTATTCACTGCCCAAGTGCCCCATACAGAGCCATCTCCTTGCTCCACAGTAACTCCATGAGGCAGGTCGCATTCTGACCACTTACAGGTAAGAAAACTGGAGGGCGAGGCAAGAAACGAAGTGCCCCAGTTCCCCCAGCTGCAAGGGCAGGATTGGGTTTGATTCCCCAAGTCCATCAGCCATCAGAGTATCCCGTCCTCATTCATCTGCTCTCCATATTTCTCCATCCACCATGGGCCACTCACCTGCTCCTGGCAGCTCCAGGCTCCCCCTGCATGGTGGAGCTTTCCAGCAAGAGGAGCTGGCTGCCAGAGCTGTTTCGGAAGCTCTCGCAGAGGACCCCCACGCACAGGGCCAAGACCCTGTCTTTCTCAGAATAGTAGCATGTTTCCAGAGGGCTGGCCCAGGAGCCAAAAAGTAGATGACATCAGTCAGCTCTGGCAAAAGATCTTTTACAAACGAGAGTCTTTCCTTTCCACACCCACTGTCCTTTCCATCAAGTTGCTTCAACTGATTCATTAAAAATACAGTTGTAGTTTGGCTTGAGATGCTCTGCAGCTTGAATCCCTTCCAGCCAGCTCTTTGCCACAAATGCTACACACAGTTCCGGGGAAAGCGTGGTTAGCCTGAATACTGGGCTACCGAACATATTGGAGTGATGGGAGGAAAGAAGATGAAAGAGACTTTTAACCCAGATTACAAAAAGTCAAAGAGGAGGTCAGACTCCCAAACAAAGGCAGGCTACTCCACTGGAGTGCCTCTGGCTGTTTGTCAAGGCAAGAAAGCTTTGAAGGGCTAAGGTGCAGGGAGGTAGGAGACATCCCTCACTGAGATAAATTTAAAAAATAGCTTCTTCCAGGACCAAACAGGAACTCCTCAGGGATAAGGAGAGGGTTTGGTGAAGACCAAAGTCAACATGTACTTTCTGATCATTAGCCAAGACTGAAAACTGCAAATAAACTCCAGATTCACCCTATTAGAGAAAGAAGGATTTGGAGCCAGTGCAGTGGCTCACACCTGTAATCCCAGCACTTTGCAAGGCTAAGGTGGATGGATCATGAGGTCAGGAGATCAAGACCAGCCTCACCAACATGGTGAAATCCTGTCTCTACTAAAAATACAAAAATTAGCCGGGCGTGGTGGCACGTGCCTGTAATCCCAGCTACTCAGGAGGCTGAGGCAGGACAATCGCTTAAACCTGGGAGGCAGAGGTTACAATGAGCTGAGATCCTGCCACTGCACTCCAGCCTGGGTGACATAGCGAGACTCTGTCTCAAAAAAAAAAGAAAAGAAAAAGAAGGATTTTGAAAAGAATAGAGCTTAGTGATGAGGGCAGGTG